ACATACTGAGATTTGACTTTTTTACGGGAACTCAGTGTTGGGAAAAGTATCTATTTTTTATAGCCATTTTATTTATTTGATCTGTCTGTATTTTACTTTATGTTTTTAGAACATACAACAAGAATGTAAGAAATACTGAAGTTCTAGGGACCTTTCAGGAAACACAGAATTTAACATAAGAACCAGGTCATAACTTGGTCTGTGTGTAACAAGAAATTGAAAGAAGACAATTCATTAATTTAGCACTTGGCATGTTGTTCTTTGATTTTTCTCCAAAGCTTGCTGTGCTGTACATGCAGCATTCATCTTTAAGGAGGGAAGCAAATAATTTTTCCTATAGAAGACTGTACAGTTGGGGAGAAAAATATTCAATTTTTTTCACTAATTGCTCCATTCATTTTTAGAAAGTAGAAGACAAACTATATGCTAGAAATAGAAACTACTCTTTTTGGTGTGAAACTATGTGATATGGTTTTCCATTTCTTTTATGCAGTCAGAATGAACTAAGGGTAAGCCTGTAATTTAAGGGTGTTCATGGTATCTTTGTGTTGAAAATCAAGATGTCAGATGGAGAGACGTTCTATTTTTGTTCAATTAATATCGGAGAGCATTACATCAAAGCAGTAAACTCCTCTTGTAGCAACAGATGCGGCAACCCTGAAGCCTATTTTCTCTCTTGTTACATTAGTGTTTAATTAAAGAAAACAACTAGTTGGAGGCAGTTACTTTCTGTGAAATGTAATGAAGATTTATTTTGTAAGTGACCTTCACTGTATTAGCTGAATCAGTAATAAGTAAAATTAATAGAATAATCAAATTACATACAAACTCATAAATCATCATGAATATGCTGTCAAAAATTCAGCTTTTAATGTGTCCTATTGTTGCACAGCTGTATTACAAATTATAACTGTTGATTCCTGCCTTGATGGGAGCTGAAATGGCATTTAAAGGCTGTGTATGATGGAGGGCTACCAGGCCAAAAATTTTCACAACTGTTAATTTAGCTGTAATATGATTTGATGTCACCAGGGCAAAGTTGAAGTTGAGTACAGTGTTGTTGCTATCTTTCAGCAAAACTTGAATTATTGGTGTAGGCAGTCGCCAGTTAATTAGAGTAATATCAGTTTAAATGTCTGTCATTTAGGGTTAATGGTATCAAAGATTTGCCTTGTACTTGAAGTACAGTCAGATCATCTTGAATAGCCTATTGTATGAAAGTAATGTTAGCACAATGATTTTACTTTCCCATAAATTATTGGGATGCCATTTAGTTTAATATTTCAAGTTCTATATTTAAATAATTTTGGCAAGTTCTTCGTAATCATGTCATTTTTCATGCTAGGGTGTTTTAATAGGTAATTTGGCTCTTTGTAATTGTTTAACACAACACAATCAAAATTACTTTCCATTTTCATTTAAAAACAGAAGTTTTCCACTGGCCTACTGTAAAAACAGGTCATGCCCTCCTCCGCTGGGTAGCAGGCTACTCTTGAAAATAAGTAATTCACATTTTTGCGCAGCCAAGCAGCACAGTTCTTTCAAGGCACGCTAGAAAAATAAAGTGCATATATCAAAAAGCCCTTGACTGGTTGAAGTCAAAGGGAAAATTGTAATTTATAGTTTTTAACAAAGGAATTTTAGTTGTAGTTAGGTTAATAGTGCTGTTCTTTTATACAACATATGAAATGAATTCATCTGAGCTGGTTTGAAACATCCTAATACGTGCATTGTGAGGCAAGAAGCCATTGATTGCAGCATTAGAGATAATAAGCTTGTAGCTCGAGGCTCTCTAATAATTCTTCAGTGGATGTTTAACCTTTGTGTCATCTTCAACAATCTCCATACAACCCAGGTTGGGATTCAACATGGTGTATATTCTCCTTGCTTTTGGATAAAAGAGGTATTCCTAGGGAACTGGATCTTCTGATTTGGCCAATAGTAAGTGGTATTGCTGACGTTTCCTTAGACTTCTGCCTTTTGGAGTACAACTCAGAAGAGATGTGAGTTGGAAACACACTTCAGCTGTTTGTCATGCTGCATCATTCATGCAGTTTAAAAGGTATTGCAGTATTACAAGTCTTTGAACTATCTAATAGGACTTCAGGACTTTTGCATGCCAATAAGGATTCCATTTTTAGGAAATCAGGTTTGCAAAATGAGAGTTTTCTTTTCTAGTATATCGCCGATGAACCTAAAGCTCTTTAACTTCAAAATAAAAATAATTTTTTAAAGAACCCAAACAAACAAAAAAATAAACCACGAAAAAACTGTTAGTAAACCAGGAAAATCCTGCTATCATCCCAGAAATCTGGGAGAACTATGTTCCACCAACCCAGCCTGCCTTTCTCAATCTCAAACCTTGATTGTTGCTGTGGCTAGTCTGACGCTTAGCTAATGCTAGGCGGGCATTAGAAATGTAGTCACACTAATCTGTTACATTACAGTGTAAACTCTACCAAAAGATAGAATTACACATTCTTATTTTAAATACAATACCTAGGCAGAGGCTGTTCATGAAATAGCAGGTGTAATTTCTTATTTTTATGCCCTCCCAGTTTCAGCTCTGTGCTTCCATCTGTGAGCTGTGAACATCAAATGGCTGGGTCACGCTAAAGCTCAGCTGAATAACAGGAACTCAGAAAACTCAATTTCTTGCTCTGGCATGGTAAAATGGAACAGTGTGTCATTGTATTGAATGTGCTACAGACTGTTTTATGATTTACTTATAAGAGGCTATTTACTTTTGAATAATAGGGATCACAAGAAGAACACAGGTGAATTTAACTTGTAGGACGAAGGAAGAATTGTCAAATGTCACTTAATAGCATTTGACAGTTGTCTGATAGAGCAATTCTCTGAGAAAAGGGTACGCAGTTTTTGTCAATATGCAAATTGTTCATTCTTTCTCTTCAGCATACATGAGAAGAGGTCAGTGATAGCTGATTGATCTGAATGAATCACTGGAGATTCTTAAATAAGTAAATAAATTAAAAAAAAAAATACATTGAAGATTCCCAAGATAGATCAGACATTGCAAACAGTCCAAACCTGAAACTGTATTGTAAGGGATCAGACACATTTCTCCTACCCTTTTTCTTCAGCTTTGTCCACTGATTTCCATGCTGACTGGAAATTTTGACATGAAAGGTGATTTCTTTAACATGATATGAAAAATATTGTTAAAAATGTTTTTACTGGTGTATCTTTTGTCACACTAAGTTCTTGAGAACATAATCCTCTGCATTTTGTATTATTCATGTAGTTAAGAGTGTCACTGAAATGATGCACTGTAAACAAAAAAACCTGACCGAAGTTTAATCACAGTTAATCATGAAGTTTTGTCCTTGACCATCTCTGGCCTCAAATTGCACCAGGAGAGGTTTAGATTGGATATTAGGAAAAATTTCTTCACTGAGAGGGTGGTCAAGCATTGGAACAGGCTGCCCAGGGAGGTGGTGGAGTCACCATCTCTAGAAGCGTTCAAAAAACGTGTGAATGTGGTGCTTCAGGACATGGTTTAGGGGACACGGTGGTGCTGGATTAATGGTTGAACTTGATGATCTTGAAGGTCCTTCCCAACCATAGTGATTCTGTAACCTATGTCCTCTTTCTGTAAGATCATGAATTTCTCTACATTATAGTGCTCTCACAGAAAGTTCAAAGAGCTTTTGAAAAAATATGTAGTAAAAAGAATATTGGGTTTTTATACTTGTTTGACACCATTTTGGAGCATGTGATCTTACACTGAAATCTTTTAGGAGCTAGAATTAAAAAAAATATTAAAACTACTGATATTACAGTCATTTCAATGTTAATGTGGGTGCAGAAAAAATTTTAGGCACGACTTACAGAAACTAAACTTCCATTTTTTGTGAATTAATTTACCTTGTGTTGCATCAAATCAACAGAAGAGTAATCCTCAGAGATTAAGCCTGGCTTTTGGCAAATATAGAAAGTTGGGATGCAGGGTTTAACCTCCGATTGTGTTTATCACCACATCGACTGAACTTGTACTGTGCAGATTCCCGGGAGAGCAGTCTCAGACTTTGTGCATAGGACAGATTCCCTTCAAGGGGGTGATGAAACAGCCTGGCTAATGATGAAATTTTGCAGTGGGTGACTTCACATGGAGTCCCTCCTATTTAAATGTCATAGTCTAGTTTCTTTAAATTCTGAGTCTCCCTAGAGTTTAAAAACAGATGAGTTGCATTATTGGCTTAATGTTTGGGTGGCAAAATCTTCTTTGTTGTAGGCAGTGGGTTTTGTTTCTAAGTGGAAAACTGCTAAATAGCTTAGTAGAGCTTCTGAAAAACTGACCTACGAAGCTGGTTCCTTTTTTCATTTAGGAAATTTTTTTATCATGAGTCCATGCACAGAATATCTGAAGCAACTATATCATAACATAGGCAGAACCTGGAGGAATCACTGTTTTTAAGAGGTCATCTTTAGATCGTAACAAGTCTTCACTGTGGTTGGGGCACTTCTCAGTGCCCTCAAAATTTGAACTGCTTGTAGTCAATGAAGTTCCCACGTTACATTTTTGTAAGAGTAGAGAAATAACTTCTGATTCACACTTAGCATTCTGGCAGCTGGTTGATGAGGTTATGGTGTGTTCTTACACTCTTAGGCTACACGATGCGCTATGTAGCATGGTCAGCATATCAGTAGATATTCTATGCATCTTCAGCAAATAGATGCTTTTCCATCCTGAATGACCGAATACAGTAAGAGAGAATGAATGCTCAAGCTAATGTAACAATTTAAAGGACTAAGATAAATGTTAATACAAAAAGAAGTTAACAACATATACTTTACAAAACCTATATGACATGCTTTCTTCTGGTTGTTTTTCGATTGATTCATTCAGAGATTAAGATGTGTCATTAAATATGTACTGCAGCGTGCACAGTACTTTGCCTTGCTTATGGTACGCACTCACAGTGATTACAATTAGTTGTGATAGGAGTAACCTTTATTTTTTCCTAATGTATTTCTAGGATGTGTGCTGTATTTGGTGGTATCTATTGTCTTCGCCATTCTGTGCGGTGCCTTGTAGTGGACAAAGGATCTGGACGGTAAGGGTAATATAATAACCTTCTGTTTATATACAAAATACAGATGAAAAATGTGTTAAGTCAATTTTAAAAAAAATGATTCTTCAAAGATCCTCCTTGGTATTAATAACACATCAACCTTGATTAAAAGTAATTTGTGTATAGGTCCTCCAGAACAAGGGAAGTGGGTCTAGAATATAGAAACTAAATTAATTTCCCTGTGATATTACTACAGCTCCTGATCACCCAAGCTTGGAAGACAAATCATTTCAGCTGCCGGGGGGCTGGTGATGAGTGATGTTAGTTTTCCTTGTGGCCTTACCTACTCTAATTGATTTTCATCAGATGACAACAAAGCCCTCTGTTATTGCATTTTTAAAAATGGAGCTCACCTAAAGACTCATCAGATTAATCTTTGCTGATAATGCATGTCACTCCAACAGAAAAGACTTTAATGAGTTTTTAGGTAGATTGTTGTCATAAACTATGCTGCCCTCTTATCCTAGGATAAATTCTTTTACAACAGTATCGGGCCTGTAGGCAGGTTTGAAGTTGAGCTAAGAAAAATCAACCCATAGTTTTTTCCGTAGTGGCATTTTTCACACTTCTGTGAATTGTCATGGTTTCTATTATATACGTTCTATCAGTTGCTAGTCTAACTGCAGACTTTGGCTCTCTTAACAGTCTGTTTTCAGCTTTCTTTCTGTAATTGAAAAGTACTAAACATTCTGTAGAAAATTTTGCAAATTAGGCTAGAAAATACTGAGTAATATTTTATTAGAAAATGTAGTAGTTAAATGATTGCTGTAATGTGTTTATTTGCCAGTTGCATTGTACATTTGATTCTTTGAGCATGATAGCTATAGCTCGATTTGTCATGACATGGTCAGGTAGCATCTGTTTTTCCTGAAATTCTATAAAGAACAGGTTTTATCTTTTTGCCGGTTACTTAAGGTTCTGAAGTTCATGGTATTTTTTTTCAACTTTGAGATGTCGTGTGTGGTGTTTTCTTAAGTGCATGGTTCATATGCAAATGAAATTATGCCCCTTTCATAAATTCTCTAGTGTTTTCTTTAACAGTAGTTTTACTATAGGGAGCTTCATTTTCCAATAACATTTAAATAGTCAACTTTGCTCTTTCAGAGGGACAAAGTTCCTAGTTGTTAGCAACTTCCAAACACTGCTCTATGGAGATCTTAACTGGTCAGTGGTGCTGGTAGCCCCAGTTTCAGCTTCTTTTGCACATTCTGAAGGCATTTGGAATTAATGTTTCCTTTATTAAGGTTATATGTATTCTAAATAATTCCTGTAACATGCTTTTATGTTTTGGAACTAATAAGTTCCTCAGGGTTCCAGGTGGGTTTTCAGTGTTTTTTTTAGGCTATTAGGCTAATGTGGTTTGCTTTTATGTCATTTTCACTTAAAACTGAAGAATAGATTTTTGAGGTGTAGAGTTACTGTAGTATTTTTTAAAGACTTTATCAGACTTTCATTATTCATTGGTCTTTTAATAATGGTGATTATGCTGAATATGAAGAAGCACGACGCATCCAGCTTCCCAAGCCTAGTCACCTGCCTTTTCCTTGGAGTCGCCTGCCTGGCGCCTGCCAGTCGCCTGCTTCTGTTGTCTCTTTTTAGGTCTCCCATAGTTTCAAAGCAGGTACTTTACCAAGTAGCATTTCTACATTAAAATAGAAGTGAACAAAAAAAACATGTATGGAAGAGAAGCCAAGTGTCAGACTTGGAGATGATGAAAAAGATGCAGCCTAGGTTAAAACATGTTTTTTAAAAAAGTATTTTCAGCAACGAAGGAAGAATCATAAAACATCCTCTTTCTCTCCTAATAATTTCTAGAAGTTTCAAACAACCTCTTTACCATAGCAAAAATGTCATTCAAAAAGCTTAAGTTTCTTTGACCCAGGTCTATGTTTTATTCAGTTATATATGATTTTTCTTTTCTCTCACCCGAATGCAATACTGCTTTTACTTGCTAAGTCTTTTCCTTAGTGTTACTTAGCAAGCTGTCAAGTTTGTTGCTAAGATTATCACTATTTCCTTTCCTTTCTTATTCTTTTTTCATTTTCATATCTCTTTTCTTACTGTGTATTCCCTCCCTGCACTAGCTCTGACTTCCTCTTGACTTTGGGCCTCAATGTTTTGCCTAATAAAAATCGGCTATCAAATTGTTAATGAGGGTATTTATGAGTTACTGAGCTTTTGAGTCAACAGACCATTAATAGTAATTGCTAAGAGGCAAATTCATATCTCGTTGTCACTATGGCTGTCTCGGTAGTTTCAGAGACAGCTTACCTTGCTTACAAATAGGTTAAACTCACAACAGTAGAAATTCAGTCAAATTGAGCAGTATTCATTACTATTTTAAGTGTCTTCTGTAAGCTTCCAGACTTCATCAAGATCTTAGTGCATTTATTTTTTCACTGTTTTTAATATTCTTGCTGCAGTACATGGAAAGAAAATTTTTACTTCTAGCTACAGGCTTGATTTTCTTGTCAAGTTTTTTTGCGTTTAATTTGAAATCCATAAATATCACCAAAGTTTATTCCAACTCCTTTCTAGACATGGCTAACATTCTCTCCAGCACACGAAAAATATGAACCCATTCAGTATCTAGTTGTGTTGCTTTTTCACTTTTTTAATATCCATAACTGTATAAATAAAGAACAGGAGATGTCATCCACAACTATACAGAATCACAGAATCATTAAGGTTGGAAAAGACCTTTAAGATCATCAAGTCCAACCATCAACCCAACACCACCATGCCCACTAAACCATATCCTGAAGTGCCATGTCTACGCATTTTTTTTTGTACACCTCCAGTGATGGTGACTCCACCACCTCCCTGGGCAGCCTGTTCCAATGCTTGACCACTCTCACAGTAAAGACATTTTTCCTAATATCCAGTCTAAACCTCCCTTGGCACAACTTGAGGCTCTTTCCTCTCGTCCCATCACTAGTTACTTGGGAGAAGAGACCAACACCCACCTCACCACAACCCCCTTTCAGGTGGTTTTAGCGACCGATAAGGTCTCCCCTCAGCCTCTTCTTCTCCAGACTGAACAACCCCAGTTTCCTCAGCCGCTCCTCATAAGACTTGTGCTCCAGACCCCTCACCAGCTTCATTGCTTTTCTTTGGACACGTTCTAGCACCTCCACATCCTTCTTGTAGTGAGGGGCCCAAACTCAACACAGGATTTGAGGTGCAGCCTCACCAGTGCCGAGTACAGGGGCACAATCACTGCCCAGCTGCTGCTGGCCACACTAGTGCTGTTATCAGAAACAGGCCAGGACGCTGTTGGCCGCCTTGGCCACCTGGGCACACTGCCAGCTCGTGTTCAGCCAGCTGTCGACCAGCACCCACAGGTCCTTTTCTGCCAGGCAGCTCTCCAGCCGCTCCTCCCCAAGCCATGTTACTGTATCCCTTTTTACAGTTCATAAAAATAAGATTCGGGGAAGACAGTGTGAAAGTATAAAAGCTTTCAGACATACCTATTTTAATGTTTTGGTAATCTGCTTGAAAATTTCTGGTTTTTACATACTGTATCAGATTAGGTCTGCTGTTTTAACACATGCAGAACATCCTGCATTCTTGATAGAATTCTGATACTCTGTTAGAAAACAAAAAACACATCATATCCCTTAGGTTGAGGAAAAAGCAGATTGAATGAATGCTTGATAATTACTTTGCATTTTGTAGATTATTTTCTGTTTATTGTACGTCAGTTTTTTGGATACATGTGATAATATTTAAAGTATTTTACATTACATGCATTGCATTAATAATAATGGTAGGGATTTTATGTTGGTCACCCTTTACGTATGTTTCCAATTACATACTTCTGTCTTAGAAATGGAAAAGATGTGATAAATGGGAATTTATACATCTGTAATAAAAAGATATAGCAAACACAGAGTAATTTACATATCTTTCTTGAAATATTGCATACTGGCTTTTGTGAGTGCTGGTAAGTCCATTTCAAGGATGTCGCCCTTAGTCCATTAGTTTGGATAATGAGCCCTATAAAGTACATTTATAACTCGTGGCAGTGCAAGGAGATGGATTCTAATTTTCATCCTTTTATCTAGACACATTGAAAGAAGGTCAATGGAGGGTTCTGTATGATTCATTGTCCCAACACATATCAGATGACAGAGACCTGATAATGTCAGTGCATAAGTGTTGTCCATATTCGGAAGCACCACTTGAAAGGAATTTTCTCAGCATCATCCTTTGAAGTGAAGTGGAGACTGCAATTAAAAGTGCTATCTCTTTTTCTGTTTAAAATCTTATCAACCATATGACCTGATAGCTATTCCTGAACAAAGAAGAAACAACACTTAGCAGGAAAATAAAAAGCATGCAGTTGCTTTTGCTGGCTTTGAGTGATGCAACATGACATTTAATCAACCTTTCCCCTTAGATAATGTTTAGGGGGGTGGCAGGGAAAATTGTTTCATAAACAATAAGAAAGGTTATAATTAGAAATGAACTGTAGCAGCTTGACTTCCTTGTTTATTTGCAGTATTCAAATGAGTGCTTGAGAATTAAATCAGTTAGGTTAACATTAAGGAAAACCTTCTTAAAATTGCAAGTGAAACACGTGTTGAATAGAACGTGATTGAAACTGTGTGAAGAATGCTACATGTTTTAAGCTAAACAATGGTTGTACCATTAGACTTTTAACTACTGTTGAATTCAACAAGGTATCTGTTGAATTTCAATATAGGTATATATGTAGTGTCCAGATTCCTATGAAATCAGCATTAGAAGCTAGTGGTGTAAAAACATACTTAATTGTCATTAACCTCTTAGATTTGTAATTGAGCATTGTGTACACCCTTTTTCAATTCTCATTTCGGACACTATAAGCTAGTGGCAGCTGACTGCTGTTACTTATATAGGTTTGCTTCCTATCTTCTCTAGTTTTAGAGATGGTTTTGATTACAGAAGTTAATGATTAACTTGAAGTTACAGAAATGCTGTTTATTCATCAGGCGTAACTTGCATGTCAGGTGTTTACTGATACTGGAATAATGTTGCGCTATGATGAAACACATTTAAATTTGTAAGGGATTTCTGTGTTAGGCAACCTTTGTTTCTTTTGATGTTTCCATGTATGCAAGTACGCATTTGTGTAAGTCTTTGTGAGAGTATGTACTGGTTTGAATCCTGTATGTTAAGTCAACGGAAAAGTTGAGATGCTTATTCAGAAGATTTTAATAATAATAAAAAAAATGCAGTAACTTTCATACACCAAGCCTAAGTAAAGCTAATTTGCTTTGTTTATTTATATGGTAAATATGTTCTGATATTGTAGAAAAAATGAAAATCTTGTTTTAGAAGTCAGTATTAAATCTTATAGCTTGTTTCCATATCCTAAGAATCTTTAAAGACAGACATTGTAGTGCATGTATTTTGCTTGTACTTTACATAGGAAAAGCATTCACTGAGGTGGGTGCTCTTTAAACCTGTGGGGGTTTCTAAAAATGTTTGCAACATCTCAGTGTGAGGAAAATATGTACAACTAAATAGAACACAGATCATGGCATATAGGAAACAGCAGCTGAGGTTGTTTTTTACTAAGTATCAGCATGCAGCTGCCTTTATGTGTTTCACATATATGATATGGTTTCATATATGTCATATAGCGCAAACTTCAGACTTATTTTATAGGTATTTTTCCCCATTAAATTCTGAAATTTGTGTCCTGTTCTCACTTAAGCTCTCTGAATTTCCTCTTTCCTGTGGTTTGCATTTCTGTCCAATTATAAGAGTGTTAGTGTGTTGTGTTACATTTAACTTAAAAATTTTTGTAGCAGTGTCTCAACTTTTAATTATTCTCATTTTGTTTTGACCTGCTTGCATTCAGAAAGATTGGGATGGGGGGGTGTCCTTGAGTTTTTCTTATCCCTTCTCTACCCCCCCCCCCCCCCCCCCTTCTTTCTCCCCCCCCCCCCCCCCCCCCCCCCCCTTTTTAAACTACTGCCTGAGGCAGACTAATACATCTTTGCTTTAGAATTTTTATATCTTCAAAGACAACCAGTATCTATCAAGAACGTTTGTGTTGCCCTTGAAGCAGTATGACTTGGTTATTCCTTTTGTGTATAATGTAGAGATAAATGCTGTATTCAGACACAAATATAGAAACTCAGAAAAGTTCTCGACTGATGCACACATTTCTCAGGGATTTTTCCTTACATCTCTCAAGTTAATTTGACATTTAATTTGTCAAATGTGATTGTCAAGATAAATGTGTCTTTGGTAAGGTTGCTGATTGGGGAGAAAACCCACCGTGATAGGGTCACACCTGCAAGATCATTCACAGTATTACTTCTCCATGTATCATGAGGTAAGAAATATATGCCATTTTCATGTACAATCAAATGCGAAACGTTAGTGGCATTTTCCTTATGAAGTGACTGATTTATTAGTTTTAATATCATTATCAATAATAGGATTGTATGTAAAAAATTGTAGATGCCAGGTAGCATCTATAAGTCTAGGATTTAGTTACTAATTTCAGTTGAGTTGTTTTAGGGATTCACATGTTAAAGAAATGTGTAGCAAACTTATTTGAAAGATATAAATTATGTTCTGTATAACTCAGTTTCTAAAATTTACACATGCTTTGTTACCTTATGGCTAAATTTCTTATTTTGATTTAAATTTTTTTTAACAGATGCAAAGCAATTGTGGATCAATTTGGACAAAGAATAAGTGCTAACTATTTTATTGTGGAAGATAGTTACCTTTCAGAGAGTGTATGTGCAAATGTGTGTTACAGGTATGTAGTAAAACAGTCAACACAGTAAATCTCTTTTAATTATAGTGTTTCAAATATCCTGTGAGTTAAATTTAAGAGATTATTGTCTCCTGCTTTATCTTTGCAATACAGCTTAGTTCTGTGCACGGTTTTTCTCTTCCTTCTGTATACTTGAGAGCATAGTGTAGTGCCTGTGTTTTAGTTTAAGTAGTCTTCTAAATCGTATTCCCTTTTTCTGATTAAAAAAAAAATCCAGTAGCTCTAAGTGCATTAGGGATTTTCATAGTTGTTAAAAAGGGTTTGGAAGGTGGAGATGCCTATCGCTGTTCTCTCTTCAAATATGTTCAGGATTAGAAAAGTATTAAAAGTCATTGTTTTCTCTGGGTTTTGTTGTTCTTGCCAAGAAACACTGGACATTTACTGCCTTCATCTTCAAAACACTGCAGGTAAGGTGCTAGCAAAACTGTAATAGTCGATGCGGTGCAGAAATAATCATAGGCAGTGGAGGAGTTGACACTCCAATTCCTGAGCTCCACCATAGTGTATTTCCCCTCAATCCAAGGTGTCCTATGCTGTTTGGAAGGTAAAAAGTCCTCTAACATGCTGCTACTAATCTTCATCAAATAAACAAAATATTATTTTTTTTAAATCAGAAGGATATTCAAGCAGTTCTGTATAGTGGCACTGGCTCATTTATTCATCATCTATGCTGGTGATTGAAAGTACTACACTAATGTTCCAGATGTGGTCCTACTTCAGCACAGGCAAAATATCCAACTAACAGTCATGTTAATAAAGTTTATATGTTTAAGTAGCCTTCCCACAGTACTATGTTTAGACTGGTATTGCCAAAACTATGAATCCAAGTTTCTATTTTTTTATTAAATGCCATAACTGTTTTATTTAATTGTAGGCAGATCTCCAGAGCAGTACTCATTACAGATCAGTCTGTTCTAAACACAGATTCAGAGCAGCAGGTATATATAATTTTTTTATTATTTCCCTCTTTATTAATTGTATGTATTAATATTTAGCTGTTGGCAGGAATTAATTCATGCTTTTTTTTCTGCTTGAATCCAGCTTGTTAGACAGCGCTCTCTACTCATAATTGTTTAATTCATTAGTCTGTATAAAAGTATTAAGAATTCTATTTTACTACTTTAAAATTCTTTTCAATTACTTGGATTTCCCTCTTTGTTGGTTGGCACTATATTGATTAACAGAGTTTCTAAGCTGCTGTCTTTAGGGTAGTTCATTTTGTTTGCTTTTTAATAAACTGTTGCCCTTAGTATTCTGTTAACTGTTAATTATTTGTCTTGTCTAAACTTTGTTCAAAGCTCTTCTGCTTTTTTTATCATTCACTTTTACCATTCAAAGTTCTTATTATATACTTTCAGATCCTTTTTCAGATGTTTCTGCTTTGACAGTCTTTGCCAGACCTTAATTTTAATGGATATTCATCTCTGTTAAGTGTCTCCTCTGTACCCTTCCTGGAATCTTACAAGTTAAATAGGGCCTACAAAATAAGAACATATACGACAGAGAAGTCTATTCTTCCGAAGCCTTGCTGCTAGCATTCTGCATGAAAGTACTCCACTCTTTTTCACCTAACAGTGCACTGCCCACCTAAACTGCTCTCTGTTTAAAAAACATCTTGCAGTCTCTTGCCAAAGATTTTCTAGACTGTCGTCCTTTTGGAAAGGGCTATGATGTGAGGAGTGTTTTTGTTTTGGTGGTTTTTTTTCCTCTTCCGCTGCTGCAGACATGGCTAACAAAGGTGGCCTTACTGACTTAGGTGGAAATTCTTGAATGCTCAAACTCTGCAGGTTTGATTACACAAATTGTTACTAATAAACCAGAAAATAACACCTGCATAAATGTCTGCAGTTACTTTTCACCTTTACTCAGAACTGTGTTGGTTGTCTCATCCTCCATGTTACTCTGCATTAACATAAGTTGTTCTTTCTGGTTGATAGGTTTCCATTTTGATGGTGCCTCCAGTGGACGTAGGAAAACCAGCAGTTTGCATCATTGAGTTGTGTTCCTCAACCATGACGTGCATGAAGGACACTTGTAAGTACAGGGTATATGTGATCCTAACTACGTTTTTCCCTGTGACTGTCAACTCTGAAACAAAATTCAGTGTCATATCATTCCACTGCTGCACGATGACCAGGCTATTAGCTGAGAAAATAGGGCATACTGGGTTACTGTTCCCAGCCGATGAGTGAGTCCCTTACCTTCATCCTCGAGCAGTTACATGCTGTTTCACGTGCCTTAGGAATACTACTACAAGATTCTTGTTACATTCAATTTATCTAAAATTACATGCGGTAATTATTTATTTAAAATCTTACTGTGATTCTCGTGGTAGTACAGTATATTAATTCTTATTTCCAAACCGATCAAATGTCAAATGTTCCTTTTAAAGCTTATGTGGCTTATTAATAAGCTTGATAATTGTAGTTTAATCAGTAATGGGATGATATTCTGTTTGCTGTACAGCAATTACAAAATAATACCACAAAGAGATTTTGGTTCTGGCAGCTCTGGGTTTTTTTTTTATATTTGTAAAAAGTATTAGAATTCCACAATCTGTTTATTCTGTAAGATTGTTAAGACAACTGAAAATATAGTAGAACGGCAGGTAAGTTTATTGGAGAGCTCTAGAAGACTGTTTCTCCTCCACTGTAGCTAAGACTATGCAGTCTTCAAGTCAAAATATTAAGATATCTTTAACTTAGAAATGTTTTCTTTGTAAAGTTTTCTGCCAAGAATTTTTCTTACCACTATTATTAAAGGGCCAAAATCCACTTAAAGTATTTTCTCAAGTTATTTCTGAAAAAAAAAAGGTAAGTAATACAGACGCATGTATTTGTGCTTTTTTCCTTTCAGACCTTTAGATCTTAAGGGAATCTTTATGCCATAGGATTCAGAGGCCTCATAAAAAATGCTACAAATTTTTGTTTAAATAAGGATAGGTTTTCAGTACAAGCATCAAGTTATATTTCAGGATTATTTCTAGCAGAATATTTTGGAGCACATGTTCTTGTCTGTTTCTGCCTTTTTTTTTTTTCATTAGCATATACTAAAGAATAGGTAGGTAAATAGAATGTTTTCGCTTATACAATAATAAATATTTTCTTCAGTAGGTTTAAAAAAACTCTAAAGCACGTGAATCTGACTGGTAGCTTGTCATTAGCTTCTTATTTGAAAAGGAGTACCTTAGCTGAACTATTAAATTTAAGGCCCAGAAGTACCCTATATTTAGGGGCTTTTTATCTTCTGAAAGTTTTGTTGGAGGGTGGGATAATGTCCCATTATGAGATTTGGATGGAAGGAGTGTGTTTGTGAGCTATTTGAGGAAAAGTTATAAAAATTCTTGAAGAACTTTGTGATTGTAATCTACTGCATTAGATTTAATTCTAAAAATATCTGAGATCATGTTTCTAGAAGGGACATCCCAATATTTCCATTAGCAGTTTTCTATGTACAGAGCTTTAAGACTGTTGTTGGTATTTTATGTGAAATGGAAACAGATGAGCAACAAAATGTTCTTATTGGGTATTTATTTTTCTTTCCAAATTATTTTTCTGATTTCTGTTAAAAAGGTTACCAGTTTGGGACACTCTATGGAAGATAAATACAAGTAGAGGTTACCTGACCTAATGCTTTTGAATTAAAAAAAAGTAACTGTAATAATAACCAATTTATTTTATTGTTACTTAGGCTTAAACAGAGGTCTTTGCATGTGAAAGAAGAGTGACCTAAATGATGAAGTCATTTGAAGTTATATCTTAATTTTAAAAAATAGAAAATCTGTAATTAACTACTTAGTGCTATAAAGCATATTGTTAATATTTACCCTTTAAATAGCTGATTTACTTCTAAGGCTTCACAGAATACATACAGCAGGAAGTGAAACTAAAGGAGGGTTCATTTAAATAATAAGTAGACATAAATCATTAGTTTCCTGAGAATTTCTGTGGTGCTGAAAAATTAAGGTTTCTGTTATTTACACCATAAATTCTTTTAGTTTCAGGCGAGAAGGTACTATATTCCTTAATGAAATTTGTCTTCATGTATTGAAATTATATATAGTTGTATTTTAGGTATAGCTGAGTTCTAGTTATGGGACATACTTCATAATTTTTTTGAACTTTTGCATCATTATCTGTAAATGGGTTTTAACCTGACTGATTTCTCCTTCAAACAATTATTTAAGATAAGTATACAAATACATCTACTCTTTGATCACACTGCATAAATGACAGGCACATAATCTGTATTGTCAGTTGAGTGGAACCAAACTCCTTCACTTGCCCTAAAAATGGAGACTGTAATGATGAAATCATGAACTGAACTCATCGTTCTTCTTACTAGAAGAATTACTCCAAGACAAATGTTGGCAACCACTGTAACTAATGCAGTTATACCTGCGTAAATCAAATATAATCAAAATATATACTGATGACTGTGACTCATAGCTATAACCTTAAAGATAATAAAGATTTTTATAGAAAGTAAATGATGTGAACTTTAGTGATCTATATCTGGGTTTTTTTGAGGAAAAAATAGATTGTATTACAGTGTTTGGGGTTGTAAACATTCAGTTAATATTATAGGGAGACTTTCATTATCACCACCTGTTTTCATTTACTTCTTTTAGTACATATTCCTTTTAGAGGGTTTGGTTTTGGTTAAACAAAAATTTCATGTTTGAATATAATCGGGGTGTGTGCAATCTGAAAGAAGAGCATGAAGGGTTAAATTTCTGGTCCTCTTGGAGTGAGCGTCAAACTTCTGGTGGCATAACTGCATCCAGGAAATCATTTGAGAGACGTATGACATACTTGTAAATAATGCTACAAATAAAGGCAGACTTCAGAGTGAAAAGAGAAAAATGTCATCTGGATTTAAAATAATGCTATAGCTATACAGTGCTATTAAATTGATCAAAAATGTACAATAATGAAGAAAAAGCTCAAACTTTGTACAAAGATATGTTAAACAACTTCATGATTCTCTGACAGGTACTTCTCTGCTGATAAGTTTCCAGACAACCATTCAATAGCAAATGAGTTTGTTACGGTGGTTTTATAAAAAGCTTTAAGATGAGACTTTTAAATATCTGAATGAATGGATGGATGTAAAATCAGGTGGGGTAAAGCAGCAGAGTAGCTGGCTCTATCTGAATAGAGGCCAATGGAACAGAAAAGAGGTCGAGAGCTACATCAAGTGATGATATTTTTTAAGGAGTCAGCAGCTTCACTAGTTCAAAAAACAGAACAAAAAAAGGAGTAGTATGTTCCGTGAAGAATCTGTTTAGCAACTTTGTTTTCATGAAAACATTATCAAGAAATCTAAACCTCAAATCTGCATTATTCAAGCCAAATTGTGAATTTGTCACTAAATCAAGCAAAACTGTGAAATTTGCCCATACTGTAAGGAGAATTTTGATTAATTACACAGTTCGACAGCAGTGTTCTTGTGGTCCAAAGTCTTCTTGTGTCGTCTTTTTCCAATACGGGTTTGCTGTACTCTGTGATTTGTTTCTGATGTGTACAGAGCACCTTTTGAAATAAAGTACTTGATTTTGCAAATTATCATAAATCCTTACTGGCCCACCTAACCTAATTTCCTCCTTACCCAAATGCAAAACTGTTGTTTTGCTCGTCCTGTAAGAAGGTGGATGAATAAAATGTTGAAGAGCTTTTTTGTGATGCTGTACCAAGGCATTACGTATGTCATCACTTACATTGCAGAACAGTTCTCTGATACTCAGCAGTGCTTATCTTCAAATTCTCTCTAGTTTGTCAAAACATGACAGCGTTCCCAGTGTTCTTCATTCTCCATATGGCTGGAGACAAATAGTTAACTGCCAGCCCACTTGAGCTGTAAGTTAAAACGTGCATCTATTCACTTCATCTCCTGTTTGCTGTTTAGTGCAATAAAAGAAATGGAAGTCTTGCTCAAATGTTTTACCGCAATGGAGAAAGATAACTTCCTACTTACTCACGTACGGCCAGGCTTAAACTGTGAGCAGCCATATTTCTAAATTCCCACTCAGTCCCAATTTAGCTCTTAGAGTGTCGATGAAAGTAGGGATATTTGTGGGTTTAGTATGTTGTTGAACTGTTGGACTGTCAACACTGATAAGAATGTTCTTGGGGTTTCTAGAGGTCATTAATGGCAAATACGATGTGTTACCCAGATTCTTGCTGCTGCTTTTCCTGGTATCAGTAGACAGCATTTCATAGAAAGATATTCTTTCTCTTTGCACTGCTGATGTTAAGGTACACTTCCATCTTACCAATATACATAAAAGAGAGAGGTAATTATGATAGGTATTAAGAAAATTGCTCTGTGTGGTGTATATGTGCTGTATTTCCATAATACAATACTTCTCTGGATTTAAGGAAGTGATTTGTATGTCACGCAGTGATAGCCGGCTGTGCCTTTTTAAAATTGTAATTGATATTTATATATCTGTGTATTGGTGATTGTAATTAGTTTGTGTTCTCTTTTAACAGATTTAGTCCATTTAACCTGTCCATCAACTAAAACTGCTAGGGAAGATTTAGAGCCTGTTGTACAGAAGTTATTCAATCTAAATACAGAAAAAGGTAAAAATAAATAAAAGAAATATTAAGAGATTATTTTGCAAAAATATAATTTACCTTTGTAACTGAAGTATCTGTTACTGAACATCCGAATCTGTCATCAGAGTCAACATATGGTGAGCTGCTATTTTAGATATCAGCATTTCAAAGTGAAGGCATCTATTTTGGGAGTGAGATTGATTAGACAGATGTCAGGGTTTTTGTATTTCATGATCTAATGTTCCAAGTCGTCTTCAGCTGTGGTTTAACTTCAGTGTACAAGGACTATGGCTATAAGTGTCTAGGACCTTTTCAATTTTTCACACATTCTTTTTCATGGAAACATATCTGCTCCTCAGCATGTCTTTCAAAGATGCAGTAGTGAAATGAAACATTTGTAAATCTGGTTTGGTTTGGGTTTTTTTTACACTCTCCTGTTTTTAGTGATTTCTGTCACTTGGGTATCCCCAAGAAGAGATCTCAAACCCCCAAAAGTTAGTGATCTGCTTTCCTCCTGCAGGTGCCAGATGTGTTCAGTGCTATAAGGTGCTTAGTTTTCTTTCGCTTTCTCTTACTCTAGCACTGTTGCTCGTCCTTTTGTTGTCTTTTTCAGGTGCTTCCTTGTTTGCTGTTTTTAGTTGAAATTCTCTGGGTTCTGCTTTAAGCAGTGGAAGCATAAAGTTGTTACGTGCTGCAGTGTTATCAGGAAGATAGATTTCCAGTCATTTCCAATAATGCACTATTTAGCCCTAAATTCGAGGCAACCTTGCCAGCTACATTCATTAACTTTGTCCTCAAGATGGACGACTTAACAAGAAAGTAACTGTTGACAAAGCAGTAGTTGCCTAGAAAGAAATTGTCTCTGAGGTACTTCAAGTTAATTCCACAAAAATCTTTGAAATTTCATACAGAGATCTTGAATTTTACCATATTTTTGGTAGCTGCTCATAGAATAGGTAGTGTGCCCATAGAAGATGTTGCTGTGTCCTAACCCTGGCAAAGCATTTTTTAAATATAGCGTGCTAAAACTTAAATACAGTAAATCATTATTCTGCTATGAGAAAACAATACTTAGCTGTCAATGAAAGTGTTTATGTTCATATATGAGCAAGTTAGTAAGATGTGGATATATTGTATAATATTTACAATTTGTTTGCTTATACTATTTGCTGTTATGCTTCATTCTTAACCTCATTAATTCGGGTAGAATTTTCTCCTGTTAAAAACAAAAAACCATAAATGCATTCTTTTATGTGGCTTCCCCCCCTCGGGGCTCTGTAACTAAGAACAATGTTTCATGAAGGGTTGAGTTCAGCTTTTCACAAGTTTGCTTTTCTATGTTCTTTTGATTTTTTTTTTTTTGGCCTTTTTTCCCCCCTCTATCTTTTAATGAAAAAAAAAAAATCTTACTGGTTTTGTTAAATGGCAAAGTGCTTTAAATAGGATGGAAAGTATTAAATAATACACATTTTTGGTTTTTGCTTACAGGAAAGGCAATTATTTTGATGTCTCAAAGATGTATATTTTTTTACTAGGTTTGCAGTACAAGAGCCTTTACAAAAGCAAGTATGTAGAATACAACTAGGGTTTGTAGAGAACTTCATTGGACTGGAGAACTGCAAACACTTTTCATGTTGATATTTGTTAATTTAAAGCCTGCTAATTTCTAATTTTTAATACTCAACATAACTCTTAAATGGTCCAGACAGCGCCATGTGTTTCAAAGGCTCGATTGGTGAAGAAAAGATTAGCTTGCAGTTTAGTGTCTTCTAATCATTTGGGGGGGTTAGCATTAATCTTAATGTTTAACGCGATCCAATTTTGAAATGATATATTGTTTAGAACCTGACTGAAATTCTTCTGTAGAAACTCTGTGATCACAGGGGTCCTTAGGTGCACTGAGGCACTGAAAAGCTAGTTTTCACTGACACATAGGCCTTTTTATCATCAGGATGAGGTAGTGGTCGTATTTTAATTAAAATGTCAGAACAAATACTGTTGGAGTTATTGAAAATGAATCACCAGATAAAGTGAGCACTGGGCCATGGCAGGTCAAAGAGGCAAAGTCACCTGGAGAAGAGGACTCCATTCATTTTCCTGCCTAAATGAGGAAGAAGTAACTTTTATGAGCAATGTGAACTTTTAAATATATTAAAGAGCATCTTGCCCTGTATTAAGGCTCAGACTTTCACAGGCTGATGAATTTAATTTATATTTCAAACTCTTCAGTATGGTTAGCACCTATTTTTTAACGTATTTGACAGTTATAAAAAGATACTGAAGGAATAGCATAGATTTATCTCTTTTTTTCTAATTCAACTGCTTTAAAATACTGTTTTGAATGCCATTGTTATCTAGAAGTTTCTTCCTTGGAAAGAAGTAAATCTCACAAGGTCTTTTACAAGCTTCATTTATTTTAGAGGAGGTGAAACACCAAAAAGGGGACAGCAAATATGCCAAACAAATAGTATCTATTAAGCTAAGAATCTATGTTGTGTATTCCTCCATTGCATTCGGCACTGCTAAAAAGTGACCTTCATCTTCCCAGCGGTTTTTCTGCCTGGGCATAGAGGGTTTACATGAATGTGGCAAGTAACAAGGTACAGATGATGAACAAGCAAGATGTAGTTTATGATCATTTTGTACTCGTAATGAGTTTTGTGGCACTGCACAAGTTCTCAGTAAGCGTAGATAAATACAAATTAATAATTTATTTTCATTCAGCAGTATTTCCACAATTTAGAGATTCTGCATACTGAACATCGTACATGTCAAATAGAGTACTTCTGTGTTTTGGTAATTCTTTATCTGCAGTTAATTTTGGGGTGTGAGTGTAGTATTCAATGTGGATTTTTCTTTTAAAATTCTTTTTTTTTTTAAACTATGAGCATTATTCCGTCTCCTTAGATTGGTTTGAAGATGCTCAACCTTAAAGCATACAAAAGTCTGTTATGATGAGAGTTCCCATCCAAAGATAAAATGAAGGGAAAAAAGTATACATCAAAACTATCTTTGCATGTGGAATGCAATATCTTCAAGCTGGCACAGCCCATGGAGGGCTTGTTCAGACCACCATATGCTCATGGAATTTATCCAGAGTAAACTAGATAACATGAAGTGGAAAGGCGTTAAATTTAGATCAAGGTTCTTGGTAGTATGCTTTTAGGTGATAATTGGTTCTTATGTGGCATCATGTGTATAGAATAAGTAGAGTTTACATAGCTATGGTTGGAAAGAAAAAAGTACAATGAAAGAGTACCTCAGAAAAGAATGGGAAGTAAAATTAATTGGCTTTAAAAAAAATAATACTTGATTACAGTAATATGTTAATAAATTGACTTCTGGTATGCTAGATTACATATTTCCCTTATGTGTGAACATTGATTACTGTAAACACTTTTTTTTTTTTTTTAATTTTCAGAGACTGGAAATGAAGAACTGGAAAGACCTGGAGTCCTCTGGGCTGTCTACTTCAACATGAGAGATTCTTCAGGAATTGACAAAAATTCATATGATGGCTTACCTTCAAATGTTTATGTCTGTTCTGGACCAGACTCTGCTTTAGGAAATGACTGTGCTGTCAAACAGGTTGGGCAGATCAATTTTGTTAATTGCAGAGCTTTAATTTTCAAGACCTAAGGAAGTCCAGTGCTGTATACTTTTGTTCTGGCTTATTCTGCTTTATGCTAGGTAATTAGTTCTAATAAAGCTATAAAGCTTCACAGCTTAGACGTACAAAAATCTTACTTAATGAGCAAAGTGAATGTCAGGGGGTTTGAGAATGGAGAAAACTTGAGAAAAGGTCCGTTGATAGAGTAACATTAGGAGTAGCAGATAGTTCATCTGAACAGGTAAAGGGAATCTAGAAGGCAGCACTACCTGAAGATGATGGCCTTGGTAGAATTGCGGTAGTTGGTTACTTGCTCTAATACTGTGGACAGGAAAGACTGTCAAATAATTCAGAAATATAGACGATAACTCCACAAAATATGTAATCTTTTGCCTGTAAGATTAAAGAGGAGGTACAGTAGCAGAGAAACAGTACAAATCAAAGGTCAGAAAAGCCTATCTACAGTTGAAGTTGGAAGGATCATCGACATATTTTAAGAGCTGCAGGACATAATCACAAACCTAAAATCTTTTGGGAAAATAACTCTGCATAATTACTAATCTGGTGCATTAAGTTATCTGTCTCAGTTCACCTTCTCTTTGCCCAAGTATCACTCTATGAAGAAATTATGGTGTAGTTGTGCCTGAAGGAATTGAGGGGAATGCCATTCTACTCATGATCTTGAGATAGTATTTGGCACCAAATCACACTCAGTTCTGATTTTTAGTTCTCAGTATTTGGGTGTTCTGGCTAACTAGCATCCTGGACTGAGAACCACTTGGAACTTGCCTCGTAAGTAGGCGTACCATACCAGTACTCAATTTAAGACAAACTCCTAGTGCTTTGAAATTGGAGGTAGAGAGTGAAACCTCCCTAAAAAAAACTAGATCGATGGAGGGATTGTGAAATAGTGCCTTCTGTTTGTTGGCAGGAGGCAGAGTATGCAGGGACACCAGATCTGCAAGGATAGGTAGGTAGAAATTCACAAAGAACTTCGTATCATACCTCTCATTGTGCCTTCCCCACTATTACTGAGCAGAAGACAAGATCATGCGAATATGTAGGTTACAACTTCTTCAACAAAAGACAACTACAGGAATGCTTCTCCTTTGCTCTTCCGTTCAGAGATCCACCCTGATGAGGAAGGTATAAATTCTTAGGCACATCTACCACAGCAGTCACTTTGCTGTCAGGGTGCTTTCAGAGCTAACATGAGAACACTTACATCTTTGTAGGATTAATTGGCACTATTCATTTTTAAAGCTGTTTTTTTAATGGCCATGTTCAGAGAATGTGCATACATTCTTCTAACCAGTTGCAGGATTTTTTATGACTAAGTCATAAACCACTTAAAGTAAGTTTTTTAAAATGGAAGGGCTGACATAACCTGAACTGTAGGGTCAGAACAGTGTAATTAAGGTCTAATAGCACCCTTCATTTTGCTTTACAAGGCAATAATTTGCCTCCCAAGAGAATAAAGAATTGTAAAGACAAAAAATAATGCAAGACAATTATTATAGTAGCAATTTTAAATTGTAAATGAGTTCTTTTCTAAATGAGATTTTTTTTTAAACTGTTATTTACAACAGTGGAAGTTAAAAGCTATTTAAATACACTTAAAACCCAGCCTATTTCTGATTCTGATAGCCACCTTTTCTAGCATTCAGCTTTATATTACTTTAAGAGCTTTTTTCTTACCAGTTACTAATGGTATTATAGATCAAGCTGTGTTTAAATATTCTAGGTGCTGTAGTTAGCCTTTGTGTTTAAATCTGTTGACCATCAGCGAGATCGATGTTAAACAAGTAGGTCTCGAAGGAGCCTAAAACACAGCCTTTCAGAAAGGATAGATAGAAGCTACATTTTCTTAACCTGTTCTAAATTCTGAAACAAATGGTCACTAGTTAGACTGAAAGGTATTTTAGTATAAAGTTGTTTATAATTAAAGGTTATAATGGAAAAAAATGATGAGGGGTGTATGTGAGAACAAAGCAAAGAATAGGCTGAAGATAAAGCAAAACTTGCTGTTAGAATACAGTCTTCCCAGCTAGCATGTAGGTACCTTCTAGACAAGTGGAGGAGGGAAACACTTCTCAGTTGGTGTGCCTTCTACCGCCAGATCACTTTGATCTTCCTGGAAATGGGATGGAAATCCCCAAACATGAGATATTTACCAACTCAAGGATCAGAACACTTTAAAAAACAAACAAACAAAAAAAAACGTTGTGCATATTAGTGTTGGAGATAGCTTGGAAAATTGAATCCAACTCCTTCCATCAATTCTGTGTTTCCTGTTTTAATGATACTTACCATGATTCATGTATTCACTACCATTAGTATTACTAACTTCTATACGTCATGCTGTTTGATTGTATTGATGAGGTAACATTTAGAAGGCAAGACACTGCAAATCTTACAGATAATTATCCACCTACAGCTCAGTGTACAAATAACTTCATTCTTGTTTTATTTTAATTTAGCATTATATTCCTAGTATAATACTGAACTAATGTTGATATCTGCATTTACCTGCCCTGAGGATAGGCTAAATAAAATGTAAAGTCCCATTTATGATTCCTTCAAATTCTGCATATATGGATCAAGTAAAGCGTCTGGCTTCCAGTTTTCTGTTTTTTCGCTGCTACAACCTGATATGAAGTATCATGGTCTGAAGTAGCATGTTCCTTGAAGCATTTCAGAATTCTGAGGCATCTTCATGTTCATAAGAGGAAGCACTAAAAGTGTCATGCCAATATTTGTCCTTTAACCTGTTTACCTCTTTTTCTTTATCTGGAAGGATTTCAGAGTTATTCAAGTGTGTCGTATTTCAAACTACTATTAGTTTGGTAGTGTTCTCTGTAAAATTGCTCTGAAAGCCCATGCAGCTTGTCTACATGCCATCAAGGTGGGTGGTTGGGAATACAGTAAAATAGTAACAAGACATAGTTGTATTCCACTTCAAGCAGTGTAACAGTTATTAATTTAGAGTATCTATGCAAGTACTTCACGTGCTTATGTCTTAATAATGAATTCAAATGTATCCACTTGGCAGCTGGTACACTTCTAAATACTGAAGGAACTATTTATTAACTGAATTAGTTACTTGGATAAGTATCCAAGTGTTATAATGAAGGTAATGTTAAATTATTATTGGTTATTCTGCATGACTTCAGCTGGATAAGGTTAACTTAAAAAATTGGTAGACCTGAAAGCACTCTGTACCATTAAATCGCTGAATTTATAATCAATGTCATGATGTCCTACATAACATACTAAGAATTTCTTTCCATGTTCAACCTCATAATTATTTGACAATTTTTGGAGTGGATATTCCCTGACTAATTGGAGACAATAATTGTTGAGAACTGCATAGGAAATGTTTGTCTGCTGTAGCTAGTCATATATTTAGTGCAAAATATGACACTTTTCTTCAATATTCTATTAAATATAATAACAGTTTCAGTATATTTTATTTCAAGTGCAGAATTGGAATAATAAGTCTTTCTCTTACCTTCAAAAACTTAGTTTGTTAAACTTTTTCTAGAATATTTGTACTCCTGTACCTTCCCAACTTACTAAGTAGGGTTTTTAAATTACAGAACCATGTTTTTGAAGTAGAGAACAAAATTTTGCCTGTGTTTTTCATATACTAATATAAATAATTTTGAAGAGTTTTAAATGGATATGGAAGAGTGAAATTTAGGAAACAGAATGAAAAATTAAATTGAACTGAAAGCAGACAGGGTCATTTAAGCAGTTAATAATGGAGTCCTACATCCACGTGCTGGTGATACAAATCCACTGCTGGTGGGCAGTGAAGTTTATCACAGGAAGCTGTTTGGTACATGCTCAATGATGTATTAATCTGAAAACAATTCCCTCTTGTCCAGGAATCCACATCATGTAATCAGCCTTTGCAGTTGGCACGAACTGACCCTACTGTCAGCTTTTTCAGTGCAGTGGCTGGTAACAGTATGAATATAAAGATTAAATGCATTCTTGCTTATGTGGGAGCTCTCATCACAGGTTGTCTTTAGGGCATAGTTTACTAAATAGACAAAATCTAGAGGGAATATTCCTTTGCCTTTTTAGAAATGCAAAACGTAACTGATCTGCATCAGTTGTCTCCATTTGCCTTAGAAGCTTAAGGACTTGGAAAAGAAAACCTTTATGGACATGTGAAGTGCATGCTGATTCAGTAAATAAATTCCAAAGTATCTCGAGGTTGTGGTTTTTGTTTGGTTGGTGTGTTTTGGTTTGTATTTTTTTAAGATAAGCTTATAGATAGGTTATTTGCACACGAACATGTAAAACTAATACTAGTTAACAAAGCTGCTTGCATACTTGTGTTTCCAAATGGATGTTTTGGCCTCCTTTGTTTTTATAAAATGTCTGCTTCTCCAGAATTTTAAGAACGTATTACTTTGGTTCTTTTTCTCACAGGTTTTGTAGTTGTGTTCTGTATATTGTAGTAACTACCCTGACGTTATCGAGAACATGTTTCTTTTTAACATCTTTCATTGCAGCGGTCAAAAAACTTGACTTTTTGCATGTACTTAATTTCTAAACCTTGACAGCATGAAGAGTAAGTGGCATTGTAAATTAAATCCTTGAGCTATACCTTAAGAGTAGCTGTCTTTTTACCTAAATAAAAGTTGCTCATACAGTTCCTTTCAGAAAGGTACAATTTGTGTACATAGGTATATGTGCTTAATACAATGAAATTATAGACATGTTTTGCAATAAGCTATAAATGTGTTGTATACAAATATGCATATATTTTCAATGATAATATTCCATTGGATGAGAACAGTTCTCAGCTGAGCTGAGCTGTTCAGAAAAACAAAATTTTTTTTTTTTTTTTTTTTTTTTTTAGTTTTTAAATTTAAGAAGGAAACCCGTATAAGATGTGACATAGACTGTACATATTAACAATTTCCTGGGTTTGCTTGTTATATGAAATGGATTCTTTTCTCTGGAAAGAGGCAAGATCTTTCCCATGCTCTGCATTTGACTGCAGCTAGGGATATTTTTATAGCGGAGAAGATCTTTTTGCTTGCAAAAAATCATGTGTGGTGTTCCCAATGCAATGTCGAATGACCAGCATGTTTTGTAAAAAGCTTTATCCTGTGACTTTTCCTAGTAGAACAATGTAAAAGGATAGATTGCCTTTTCTTGTTTTGAGTACTGCAAGAAGGAATGGATTTCCCATGTGTTTACAATACTGTCAAAGTACTAAATCACTATCGATTTGAAAGAACAGAGGTTAATCTTAAATATCTGTAAAATATTGCTGCAAGGTATTACATTTCAAGGTAAAGTTGATTTTATGCTTTTTTTTTCTAAATAGGCTGAGACTATTTTCCAAGAAATGTTTCCTACAGAGGAATTTTGCCCACCACCACCAAATCCGGAAGATATTATTTATGATGAAGATGAGATTGCACCAGAAGAGTCTGGATTCAGTAATTCACCAGAGACAAAACCTGAACCCCCAACCGAAGAAAGTAGTAGTACTGCCGTTAAGAAAGAAGATAATGAAGAATGAATTAGCTCTGTTGTTTTATTAGAAGAGGAGGTTGACCCAAACTAAAATGTAAGGGAGGAAGGGTAAGAAAAAGAGGTTTAAAAAAACCATAGCCATGTTATTTGCAATTTGCCTTACTTACCTTAGCTTGAATAATCTTTTTTGTTGAATAGTTTCATTGATAGCTGAGACCTTTCTAAATAGTCGTAGGTTCACCAGATCCAGGAGTGTTTGTAGCTAAACAAGAAACATAGAAAAAAAGCATTTGAAATTAAAATGCTAAAATACGATTAATGATTTGTTGAGAGAATTTGGTTTTGTTTTACATCTTGGAAGGAATCTTCCATCTTCTAAACAGGCAACAAGTCAAAACTGCTCAAAAGAAAAAACGTGCAAGTTTGCATACCAGCCAGAAGATGACCTACTGCTACAACGTATCACAGTTCTACTAAAAATCATTGGGTCTGTGCTAATTAAACAGCTGAAGGTGAGCTTCACAGTCTGTTCTTCGAAGTGGTTTTATGAATGGAACTAAAGACAATAATATTGACAGTTCTGGGTGGCTTAAGAATAGGTAATAGATGTCATTTAATTTGTATCATGAAAAATGAGCTGTACGGCTTTGAAATTGATTCTATAAGCAAATATAATCCAATAGATGTAACTCACATGAAACTATTTCACATCCAAAAAAATTTTGGATAAGATCTAGTAGTTGCGCAATCACACATTTTCACTAGTGACCTAATTGGGTGTAGTCTGGAAGATAGCACAATTAATGCTAGACTTCCCAACAAAATTAAGAATTGTAAGTGGAGCGTACCTGTTGTTAGTTTCCCTGGATTTGTTGCAGTGTTTGGGCCTTTAATAAGCCAGTAGTTAATTTTTCAAGTATGGTGTCTGAGAAGACTAGACGATCATTAATTGAAGGTTCTTGTGGTGGGGAGAAGGTTCAACTAATAATTCCAAAGGTTGGTAGTGATCCCGGTTAATAAGATTAAAATGAGTGCGATAGCTGTAAATTATGCATTTTGTAATGATAAATCATAAAGCATTTATACAATAAAATTTATCAAAGTATTTATAAGCATAGTTTGTATGAAAAAATTACAAAATGAGAAAGCTGTTGTGAATGACCAGGATAAACTTGCAGTTCTTCTGAACAATGCTTGAAATTAGATATCCAGGTAATGAAAAATATTTAGCATTTACATAAAGATTTACCTTAAAATGCACACCCAATAGATTAGTGATGTATCTAAATACAGAGTTCAGTGAATTTTGGTGAGTCAGGGCTTAAACTTCTACATTAATTTAGATATAGTTCTAGCAGTGCATAAATACTGTACGTAAATAAAAAGTGCTGTTGAATAATGAATATTCAGCACTGCCTGAACTTGACACATCCAGGCTTTTGTACAGTTTTGTGGTGCATGTGCCTGCCTTTAAAATGGCTTCCTGCCATAAAGGTTAATTTATTTATTTTTTTACAGCATAACTGGTACAGTTGACGTCACTTTGCCTTGCATTATAATACATTGTCCAATTTGCATTTCAAAAAGCGGTTTGTTAGTGTTTACATTCTTTGTTTATTGGATAGGTATCATTTTGTGTATAATCCAAAGTCCTCAGAAAAATATGTGGTTGAATTGTTTCCAGTGTTAATCAGCGGTTATCTTTGGGTGCTTGTGATTCAGCAGTTATTTATATATAGTAATAAGCAGACTGCCTCTTCATTTAGCTGGAATTTTTATGTGTATTGGAAAGCATGAATGTATGGTAATTGTATTTAACATCTACAAATCTGTAAAAGAAGTAAGTGGAGGACCTAGTCCCTGTTTTGTCTTTCAGTAATAGGGATCATAGCTGAATTTTTCATCTTCTGTGTTTACAAGGAAATTGTGTGATGAAAATTAAAGGATTGCTTGCAAGTGCATTTTTCTGTGTTTTCTTTTAATTATGCAAGAAAAGCAGTTCATTTGTTAGCTCAGATTTCCTGATAGTTGTGTTGTCTACATTCATCATGTTGACATCTGTAATAGGATTGAAGTTTACATGTGTGTCAGTATGTCTATATAAGTTAGCGAGTTTATATAAAGTAGTGTCTTGGTGCTTCGTGTCCATGTGAAGCAAAGTTTGGAAATATTGCAAATTTGCTTTTAGATAAGACGGCATAATCTACAAGTTGCAGGCCATGACTTTACACTACATTGATCGCTTAAAAACTGTTTTCATGTCTCGTTCGTATGGTGAATAGAAACATAAAATGTTTTTTCCGATGGTACTTGAGTACCCAATAGCTCACTTGCAATAGCAGTAGATAAGAGTGTTGATCTTTGTATTTCACAGAAATCATGCACTGAACTGCATTTTGTTCTTGCTTTAAATGATTTAAGCATACAAAGTGAGCGTTAAGCTTATTTGAAGTAGTTTTTAAGGCTTGTCACACAGGATGTATTCAAAAGATAACATGACTTTTTAAAAACTGGCAATTTATCTGTAGGATTATTAATAAATCAAGTTAAAGAAAGATAAGGTTAATTGAATTTTTAAACAAGTAGCTGTATTATCCTTCAAGCACCTTGGAGCTCATACAATATTCACACCTTTTTTTTTTTTTTCCTAAGGAGTGCTTTGATATGTTTGAATTCCTTTTTTAATGAGTACTTTCTTTTTAACTTGGTTAATTGGATTAACCCTTAATATTCAAACGGTCCATTTTATGCCATTTTTCCCTTCTGCTGTTGTATTGCCTTACCTATATGACTGCAATTAGTTACTGTTCCTTTGGAAGTATTTTCAGCCATGAAGCTGCTACGTCTGCTTTTTCTGGTGATGATGATGCTTAGGGCCATTTGACAGGTAATCATTCGAACTTAGATCCTTGCAGACTATGGGGTCTTTTCTCCTATCATTGCAGGGGGATTTATGTAGGTAACTCCTATTAATGTTAATGGGACTTGCATGTGTAAATCCTCCTTGCATCAATGGGAAAATTGACCCCTGGAAAAAAAAAAATCTTCATGTTAGCAGCCTTGCTGATTCAGAAACATCCAGGCACTGTCAGCTCCTATGTGGAAATACAATGGAGCATGTGCTTTGTGCCATTTCACTGAAATGCTCTGAAGAGGACTTGCGGAATTTTCAGGTTTTTTATCTTTTGTATTGTTTTTTGTATTTTCTATACACTTCTGAATCTTGTTAGAGTTCCTCTAACGATTCTCTTTATGTAGCTACTATCAGTTTCACATTCTGTACTCAGGAGGTTGCATGGCTCCTTTTGTTTTGACTCCTGTATTTTCGCCCCTTTCTGTCCCCTCCAAATCTTTTTACATCAGCAACCTGAGTTGCAACAGCTTAATTTCAAGAATAATTTGCTAGTAATGTATTGATTAATGACAAGTCAGAAGTATTAAAATACTGTTTTCACACAAAAAGAGACTAGGTCACTTACAATCCACAACTTCGACTGTTGGAAGGATAAAATCAGTTTCCTCAATGCTTTTCCAGGCTGGGAGTGGGAAAACATGTGAACTATCCACTTTCCTCAGGTGGTGGAAAGAAGAGGAGAGACAGACAAGCCTATGGAAATCGCTAAAGCAGGATTGTGGTAGTGGGAGGGAGAGGATAAAATGGCGCTGTTTGTCATAACCTTCATGCTCCGAGATCAACTGAGTCTTGCACTTTTATTTCCCCTTCGGCTATGTGAGATTTCTACACAATTTCTAACAGTCTGTGGCCTTGGGGGGAAAAGATGTGTATGTGCTTTTCAGAATGAGGGAACAACAATCAACCAAGAATGGAATAACATAAATGGAGTCATATGCAGCACATGCACTGAGGACTTGGCAGCACAAATAAGAGGGGTTTTTTTTTTTTGTTTACCTGCGCATATGTTTATCTGGTCTTTATTTTGTATTTTGTTGCTGGACCAGTTGCTACTGTAGATCTTTTATATAATGCTCTGTAGTATGTTTTGGGTTTTTATTTATCTGACAATTTTGTATCGATAAAAATCATCAAATTTTATCACCCCTTTTCTTAACACAATTTGTGAAATTACTTAGCACAGGTTTGAGATGATTCCTACCTTTTTGCTAGCTGTCAATCAGTAGCAGCTTCCTTTTGCCTCTGATGGTTAGGATTGGTATTTTTTAAGAGACTGTGAGGGATCTTGTCAGAAGTTTCAGGGAAGGGTACCATCACTATAATCTGCATGTTTCGTATCCATCAAATGAGACTCCTCCAAAACTGTTGTAGATTTGAGAGACATAGCTTTTTTTCTATGAAAGCCTTGTTAAGTCTTGCCCAATATCAGGCTTGTTCATATCTGCTAATTCTTTCTTCATGATAGTTTCTATCAATTTGCCTTCTATGGAACGTAGATTTCATTCAGGGGTAACCATATAGCAGCTCCCTTGAAAAACAAAAAACTCTCCCTTAAGGAAAAGAAAAGTTCCAATTCATCCCCTTAAAAAGTAAAAATTCTAAACTGCTCCAGAGATCTCTCCTAGCTTTTCTGCCATAATGAATGTTCTCTTCACCCATTGATTATCAATGCACTCTGCAGATTCTGGTGAGTTGTTGGCTGTTGATGCCATTTTTTTATTTTTTCCATAGGGTTCTGTGACTGCAGTTAATGCAGTTGCTAATTTTCCAACTAAGGGAGCAAGTTACTGAGATCACATCATGAAACTTATTTGATTAGTGTGTGCATGTATACTCTTCTTGGACAGAATTTTTTTCAAATAGTATTAATTAGCTCTGTGTGTATGTGTATATATAATGACCAAATTATTAACTCATAAAAGATTATCATTTAAACTTTTGCAGAAATCAAACACTGTAGAATGTCCAAAAGTTAGAATTACCTGCTATTGCCAAAACTGTCAAAAATATATGGGAGAGGTGTGGTGGCAGGATAGTTGCTTGCATTCCTTGGGTAAGTAGTAATGCAAAGTATCTTTGCTATGATGTAAAATTAGTTGTGACTCTGGAAGTTTGAGACACTGATATAAAATGTTCATTTATTGCAACCCACTTCAATAGTAAGATTGCTTCAATAATCAGATGGAAGTCTTAACTTTGGTGTG